GGGGGGGATTCCCTTGGTCTATATGTCTCTGCATCTGCTAAATGATTTTTTTATTCCCAGTGAATAGGAGTTAAAACTCCCACACGGGTGACACTACTCCACTAACAGACCATGCAAAATACCAAAAAATATTTAAAATATTGCAAAGTATCATTGCAACCTTGCAAACAATAATAAAATCAGAGAAGGACTTTAACTGTAACACGAGCACACGTAAAACAAAGGGAACAATATGATGTTTGTTATTAAAATTTTATATAGCCCACGTTTTTATAAACCTTTTTTTTTTTATTTACCACTTAGGCAATAATGTTGACTTCAACATACGTTGTCTATGACCAAAAATGTAAGAAGATTTCAGTAAGAACATTTGTTTTCAGTGGACTGTTAAAATTTGCTTTGCTTGAGAAAACAAAATTATACAGTTACAGTGTTTTTTCTTTTGATTTAGTCGAGTTGGTTTTGCATCAAGCACAATGTGATTTTCGGCAATCGAGATCTGACAGCAACAGCACATTTTTCTGCTTGGGCGAGCGCTTCGCGAACAGCTTACCTCGTGCATGAAATCAGCCGCAGAGCAGCAAACCACTGAGAACGCGCTACAATCCTGAAGAGTCATAGCAACAGAGCGGAGGCGAGAAAGCTGCGGAGAATCCACTCGCCCGGAAGCAACCGCAACTGGTAGATTTAAAGAAAATTACTGCCTTTTGGCAAATAAATCATTGTACATACTTATTCCTAACTCTTTAAGCTTTAAGTTACATTTCAAATGACAAGGGTGTCAACTTATAATCATGTTTATATGAATTATCCCTTAAACTTATTCTCTCAAATGGCCTGGGTATGCGGAGCATTCACAGCTTATGTGGACATAACGCCACTGATATGTGTATATATATATATATATAATTTTTTTTTTTTTTGCACATCGGTTGTGGCATTACTTACATTTAATAGTATATATTTAAAACATTGTCTCCTTACAGGGAATATCTTGCTGTTTTTAAGAAGACTGTGCAGGTTCATGAAGTTTTTCTTCAACGACTCTCCTCCCACCCCATGTTCAGAAAGGACAGAAACTTCCAGATATTCCTGGAATACGACCAGGATGTGAGTCTTCCGTTTTGTCTAGGCCAGTCCTATTCTTCCCAGACCAGGAAACGGAGAGACACTGAGAGGGACTGTTGGCATTGCTTATTTCCTGTGAAGCTGCAATGTTGGCAGTTTAAACACAAATGGAGAGAGAGTGGAGGATGAGTGAAGAAGATAAAGGGGGAGGGGATGAGAGGATATTACTCTGAGGGCCACTTCCTGCTTCGTTCAGCGCAAAGATTGTCTCTAACTGGACAACTGTTTTTTGCTGATTCATACATATATAGAGAAAATGTCTCTTAAAACTCAGCCGTAACCTGTAAGTTTTGCTTTGCTCTGATAAGTCAGTTATACTGATAACAAAGACAAGTGACCTCCTTGGATCTCAGCCAGTGGCGATAAAGAGTGTGCACTATGGTTCTGCCTTCTGATTGGTTCATATTGTGCTTGACTCTGTAATCCTCTTCTCATTTGTTGTTTAGCTCACAGTGAGAAGGAAAAATGCAAAGGAAATGTTTGGTGGGTTCTTTAAGAACATGGTAAAGAGTGCTGATGAGGTCCTCATCTCAGGGGTCAAGGTCAGTGTGTCAATCAGCTCTCTTTGGTCGTGTTTTTATTAATATCAACACAAGGCAGCAGTGTTCTGTCTCATGTCATGATATGACAGTTCTTTAACTTTCTTTTTCCAGGAGGTTGATGAGTTTTTTGAACAAGAGAAGAATTTTCTGTTGGATTATTCCAGTAAAATCAAAGATGCCACTGCTAAGGCTGAGAAAATGACACGTTCTCACAAAAGTGAGACCATTTCTTTCTAATGAATCAACTGGCTGCAAGTATTTTGGCTATTTGTTAATGCTAAGCGACATTCATATTGACCAAAAGATTGTCTTTCTTTTCCAAGATGTTGCTGATGATTATAACCACATTTCTGGGGCTCTGAACAACATTGCTGCAGACAACAACACTGCCTTTAAAAAGTGAGAAATACATTATATTTCATATTGTTTGTAGTAAAAACACCATTTAGCAAAGAACAGTAACAAATGTTTGATTTATTAAGTAGAGTACTTCATTGATATTAGTAGAGTTAATAGATGTATACACTGCCTGGCCAAAAAAGAAAAGTTGCCATTCGGATTTAAATAAGCAAGTAGTGAAGATTCTAGGATCGGATCAATATTCCAGTGATTAATATCTTTTTATTTCTCAAACAACCATGTTGGAAGACATACCCATGAACATATTCCATGATGATAATGTCAAGATTAATTTGGCTCAAATTGTGAAATAGGGGTTCAGTGAGCATGACACATCATTTTCATTTATGAATGGGCCACCACAGAGTCCTGAGCTTAACCCTATTGAAAGGCTTAGGGATGTGCTGGAGACGACTTTACAGAGTGGTTCAAGTCTCCCAAAAATTAATGCAACTCTTAATGGAAATAATGTTGTCGAAACAATGCCACAACGAAAGCACAATGTTATCAAATCTTAAGGTGGTCCAATTAAATATTAGAGTGTGCAAATTCTTTTTGGACAGGCAGTGTAAAGTCTACTCCAGCACACCCAAAAGACATTCAATGGGGTTAATGTCAAGACTCTGTGCAGGCCAATCTTTCACAGTTTGAGCCTGATGAATCTTGACATTATCATCATGGAATATGTACATGGCTATGTCTTCCAACATGGTTATTTGAGAAATAAAAAGCTACACACTGCATCAGTCAAGGTGAAAAGAATTGTTGTCAAACATACAACATGCCAGAAACATATTAATCACTGCAGTATTTGCTTATTTAAATCCATACGGTGACAAATTTTTTTTTGGCCATTCAGTGTATATGCATTTTTTTAAATCCTCTGTGTCTTAATAATCAGGGGGGGGTTTTCACTTGAACTGCCGACATTTTCAATGGCCCGACCGCACACACACACACAAAATTTAAAACATAAGAAATAGAGAAACTTAAGTTTTTATTTTAAATAGAGAAAAATAAGTGTGTATATAGCGACACATTTAAATAAGTCAGCAAAATTTAAAACCACAACAATTATTCTACAAAGAAATTGTTTAAGCTTATTGATATAAAATATTTCATTTTTACTAAATCTTTGTTCTTCTTTCAGGCACTTAGAAAAATGTGCTGAAGTGTTTGAAAAGCTTAGGGTGAGTATCTCTGTAGGAGCTATCTTAATTTTTACTTACATTTATAAGATCATAAGTATGTGTGTTTTGCAGAAAGTGGAGGACAGGATGGCATCGGATCAAGAACTCAAGCTGACAGAATTGTTAAGATACTACACAAGGGACATCCAGGCTGCTAAGGTAACACCTTCCCTGTTTGTGTTATTATAGTTGGTTACATTGGTTACATATGTTGGTTTGTATAATTCAACCAAGTGTATTAGAATGTATGTTTTATAGTTATTTCCAGAATGGGCTCATTGTAGAGTGGAAAATTCACATTTTTGCTCACGAGACCTGTATGGTGAATGCCCCAGTTGTACCCACTGCCATTGGTACTAACAGCAACCAAATTTATTTTTAATTTAAAATATTTTATATTGTAGCTTGCCTGCCACTGTGTAAAAAGTACCCGCATATGGTTGAACACTCTATATCATTGTTCACTAACAACACACAAAAGTTGATTTGTCCTGATTATAGGTTTAGCAATAACACTTTCCATTCCTTCCTTCAGGACCTGTTGTATAGACGTGCACGGGCACTTGCCGATTATGAGAATTCCAATAAAGCTCTTGACAAGGCTCGTCTGAAGGGTAAGGATGTCGCACAGGCTGAGGAGAACCAGAAGCAGTGTCTGCAGAAGTTTGACAAGCTCTCCGAGTCTGGCAAGAAAGGTGTTGTACAATCAAAACATAATTTTATTTAACTGTTCAATATCCTTGATGAATTACTCTGATGGTCAGAGTTTATAGTTTATGAAGAGTTAATATGGTGCTTATAGATCTAGACTGGTAGCCAACAGATTGTAGGTTTAAATCCTGGAGCAGCCTGTGAACTATAGCCATTGTGCCTGGTAAGATGGTTAAATACAAACATTTTATATAGAATGTTGTTGAAAAACCGTTATAAAAAATATCATCAAAGTGGTTTAATTATCAGTTTTGGCTGAACCGTTCCTTACTTACTAACATTGATTTCTTGTGATTGTAGAGCTCACCAGCTTCAAGGCAAGGCGTGTAGTAGCCTTCCGTAAGAACTTGATCGAGATGACTGAGCTGGAAATAAAACATGCCAAGGTGAGGAGGCTAAAGTGTTATGTGTATCATTACATGTTTATTCGGCAGTGTTCAGGTATTCTCATTTAAAGATGTGATTTCCAGGCCTGGAAATGTCTATATTTAAATTTCTGTGTTGAATATAAACTACTGTTCAAATAACCGGAGTCAGTAAGATTTTCTTTTAAAAGAAATGAATACTTTTATATAAATAAATGCTGTCCTTTTAAACTTTCTATTTATCAAAGAATCCTGAAAAAAAATCACAGGATCATGTGACACTGAAAACTGGAGTAATGGCTGCTGAAAATTCAGCTTTGCCATCACAGGAATAAATTGCTTTTAAAATATATAAAACGTTTAAATTGTAATAATATTTCACTACACTGTGTAAAAGCAGCACAAATAAAATTTGTTTGTAGAGCAAATAAATGCAGCCTTGGTGAACATAACAAAACAAAACAAAAAAAGTAAAATTTTTACTGACCCAAAACTTTTGAACAGTAGTGTACATTTTCTAGATATGCTCAGCTATAAAATATTTCAGCAAATAGAAATTGCTCTTTTTGAGTGCGGTGGGAGTTTTTAAAAATAATTGAAAAAACCCTTATATAGTAATAATGGTAGACTTGGAAAGTCATGGAGATTTTTTGGTAAATGGTTTGGCAACCTTGATTTTTAATGTGGTTTGCCCAACACGTTGACTTTCTTCTATCTGTTCTCTGTCACTTTAACTCTGTTGCGTTCTCTCTTTTGTTCACTCACTACAGAACAGCGTGTCCCTTCTGCAGGGAAGCATTGAGGTCCTCAAGAGCAACTGACCCACACGATGAGGTCACTGGATCATCTAGAGCTCCTTGCATTGTTACCAGCCCATTAGAGGGGAACCTGAATGCATCTACTTCAAATGTCTTATATGTGGTTTAGTAAACTCTCTAAAACATGAAAATGAGCCACCACCAGCAATGTCTCTACCATGGTTACACTTTATCTAGTTGTTTTTTATCTAGTTGCTATGCCCCCTTTTACTGCCTTACTGTATCTTGCCACCGAATTGAGGGCAGTGAACCAAAAGTTCTCCCATTTATTTGAATTATCAATAACACCATCCCTTTCTTTTTTTTCTTTTTTTAAGTATTCCAGGTTTTGTAAGATGAGATGGAGACATTTTAGCTAAGATTATGCAGACAGATTTAAATAATCGCATTGACAGAAGAAGAAAGATTTTTTGGTAAATGGTTTGGCAACCTTGATTTTTAATGTGGTTTGCCCAACACGTTGACTTTCTTCTATCTGTTCTCTGTCACTTTAACTCTGTTGCGTTCTCTCTTTTGTTCACTCACTACAGAACAGCGTGTCCCTTCTGCAGGGAAGCATTGAGGTCCTCAAGAGCAACTGACCCACACGATGAGGTCACTGGATCATCTAGAGCTCCTTGCATTGTTACCAGCCCATTAGAGGGGAACCTGAATGCATCTACTTCAAATGTCTTATATGTGGTTTAGTAAACTCTCTAAAACATGAAAACGAGCCACCACCAGCAATGTCTCTACCATGGTTACACTTTATCTAGTTGTTTTTTATCTAGTTGCTATGCCCCCTTTTACTGCCTTACTGTATCTTGCCACCGAATTGAGGGCAGTGAACCAAAAGTTCTCCCATTTATTTGAATTATCAATAACACCATCCCTTTCTTTTTTTTCTTTTTTTTAAGTATTCCAGGTTTTGTAAGATGAGATGGAGACATTTTAGCTAAGATTATGCAGACAGATTTAAATAATCGCATTGACAGAAGAAGAAAAAGTGCATTATTTCAGCGATTGTCTGTTGTTTTGATTATGACTGCAATTTTGTACCTTTAAATGTGATTTATCTGCTTTTTGCTGTCACACTGGAAAGCTGATATATACTAATCATGAACTATTACGTTAACTTGACGTGTGACGACAAACAGAGCAGTATAAACCTGAGAAGTGTTATGTGACATGGTGTGCTTCAGCTATATTTCTTTATAACATGTTTCTATTCAGTCGAGATTCATCCGAAATCACGACCTAATATGTCACAGATTACTAGATAAAAATGTTGCTTACAGTTTACCAAGGAAATGTTGATCAAATTCTGTCAAATTAGCCTTTGCCAGGATCAAAAACAGCACTTTTTGTATTGAATCTGATTATTTTTATTTTAAACTGTAGACTGACTCTAATATCCCCATTTGGTGTGTGTGGGTAAATTGCACAACTCTAAATTTCCAGTTACTATAAGTAGGTTTTTATGGTAAAGGTTACACAGCCATGAATAAGATGATGCTTCCATATATGTGTGAGCAAGAAATTGTTTCTCTCAAGTGAGCTGCATGTTTTCCCTGAAGTCATACTTTTCTGAAGACTTAAGTCAAATTCTCCAGAATTATTTGTGAAAAAATGTCACCGATTTAAGTTTCAGTTAATGTAGTTTGATAGTTTGCCTTCACATCCTTTCACTATTAAATATAAATCAGCATTCCTTATTCAAATGTATTTTTACTTGAATAAAAGTTTTCTCTTGGTGTTGTTACTAACAGTTTAAGACTGGCTACATTTAAATTGGACCAAAAAGTTTGGTTTTATGTAAAAAGATGTAACTGTCCTGATTATAGAGATTGTTTTTTAAAAGCACTATTACAATCATGTCTCAGTGAAGACAAATTTTATAAATGATTGTATAGATGAAAAAAAAAATGTCATATGGAGTATCATCATTTTTATGAAAGTTTGCAATAATGAAAATAAACATGCCCTGGCTTCCCTTTTTATGGCTTTTTGTCTTTTTAATCTGCTTTTTAAATGAGATGTTGAGTGTTAGGTCTAAAATGCTATATAAAAGTATACGTGTGATGAGAAGTGTAGGCCAAGTATGGTAACCCATACTCAGAATTTGTCCTCTGCATCTAAGTCGGAGCACACACACTGAAGCCATGGACCTGGAGCAGTGGGCAGCCATTTTTGCTGCGGCACCCAGAAAGCAATAGGGTGTTTGGTACCTTGCTCAAGGGCACCTCAGTCGTGGGAATTGAGGGTGGATAAGAGTGTTATTCATTCATTCCCCCACCACCTACATTTCCTGCGGTTACTGAGACTCAAACCCGCAACCTTCAGGTTACAAGTCTGACTCTCTAACCATTAGGCCCTGAAGGTTATATGGTTAATAAGAACCTACATACTGTCACATTTTAGTCTCATTGCTCATTTAATAACACTGGCCAATTTTACATATCAGTTATTAATGGTTTGAATATGTTTTTTTTTCCACCAGAGGGTGGCAGTGCTTATGAATTTCAATGACGTGTCAGTTATTGGTTGCTTGCTGTGAGAAATGCTAAATATCGGGCATCATATTAAGACACACTCTTGCAGCTAAAAAGAAGTAATAGCTCTTTACCAATGGCTTTGGGGGAAGATTTATCATATTTAATAGATTCGCCAAAACCACATTGATTGTCTTCTCTTTTCCTTTCTTTTGGAGCTGTAGTTGCTGTCCACTTTTTGGCTGTAGGGCTCATTACATTATCCAATGATTCATATTTTTCTGTCGATGAGAAGAGGAACTGGTTACTTCTCCATTATGATTATATTTCCCTGTCACTGGCCTCTAAACTGCAGGTCTGCCGACCTCATGACCCACTCTTTTTTAAAGCTGTTCATCTACTGTTCCCAGAAACATAACTATCTGCCTGTTGATGAAAGTATTTGTCTCACGGTGAAAGGATTTTGATGTCAACATATGCTGGCTGTGATCTCACTAAAGGTGAAGCTTAGCTCATGGATATTAATGACCAATTTATATTAGCCGGGCCTGTTTTTCCATTAATCTGATCATGGTGGTATGATGTATTGTAATGTGACTCATCATGACTGGACAAACGTCTATGTGCTGACACAAGAATGCAAGAATTTGATGGCAGACCACCGCGCTATGCTCTGCCAAAGACAAAAAGCTTAATTTGTTAAATCAGTGATGAGGGAAGCTGGACTCGCAAACAAGTTGGAAAATGTTGTCATTGAAGTCAAGATGTGGGTCAGCTCTTCCAAAACACACAATAGGTTGATGTCAGCAGTTGAGATGGAAATTTTGTGGTTTTGCATTTGAATTGTAATTGTAGCGTTATCTGCAGGCTATCCAATGATGTGATCGGATGTGAAATTCAGTGATGAATAACCTACATGATCATGAATAACCTACGTAGACATTTTATGGTCTTTTTCTTCTTCTTTTAAGTATTTTATGTAACTGAAAACTTGAAGACCATACAAATGAAATATGCACCAAACCTTGTGTCAAAAACAAAAGGCAGCTGTGTTTGTCCGAATTATTCTGTAGAAATTTAGTAAAAATGTGAACATACTTACAGAACAACCTGTAAATTTTACTGTTTAAAACTGTACAAAACAACAACACGAACAAAAACATTTTAAACCAGTAAATTCTACAACCATTTTCTGCTGAAATGTCAAGGCCAAGCTGCTACTAAAATCTGGTTTTTACCTTTAACAGATACTGACAACCACCATAATAACACAGGTAGTTAAGAAAAAGCCACGTGAAGAATCAAAGTTTATTGCAAGTAGCCTTTCCACAAGCTAAGGTTTATAAAAATATAAAGGTGCACCTGTGTCATACACACAAATCCAAAACACCATCATGGTATCACATATCACTAAAATAATGCAATAAACATTGATTAAACAACATAAGCTGTAACATATAACCCTAATATACATATAACAAAAACTTTTAAAAATACCATCAAATGTGAAGTGTCACCCAGAGAATTCTGGGAATGTCAATTTATGGTTTCACTGTAAATTATAAAATGACTTGTTCTTTTTTACTTACAAAAACTGTACATTCATCAATATTTTGCTGTAAAATTATATGAAATGTAAGGTTAAATCTATGCTCTTTTTCCCTGTATAGTAAGGGAACTTACCGTTAACCAATTAACAGGTTTTTACTGTAGCATTTTTATAGTATAGTTTAGTTAACAGATAAAAAATAATTTCAACAGAAATTTAATGTCCATTTATTTATTTGGTTAGTAGGTATATAAATAAAAATAGAAATAAGGTTAGTCTGTCCATCATAATAACAAAGCAAACCCCCACAGGATGATCAGGACCCTGAAGGGAGGTGCACAGGCTGAATGTACATTCTCCCTTACATATACAATTCAAAGTTGAGCAGCTGAAACAGAAATCTAAGACGTTAAGTGGGTCATCCAATACAATTCCACCCACTTTCCAGTCATACTAGACTTTCATTATGCTCTTACAATGCCATTAAATCTTTATATACTTCTGTCCCAGTTTCCTTTTTACCACAATCTAAAAATCATTTTACAAACCCACTTTCCTACAGTGTTTCAATATTGTCTTTGGATTACCCAATCACATGTGGGTCAGAGTGTCTTGTCCTGTGTCAAATGAATGCACCTGCACAAAATAGAAGACGGCAAGTGGGCAAAATACCCGCCCCCGACCCCCAATTACTAATTGTACCGCTTTTTTTTTTTAAGAAAGGTTGTGAACAGTTAAGTGAAAAATGCAATTAATCACTTAAAAAATAGTCTCAGGTAAAATATGGAACTTTGTATATGTAAAGTTACTACTTTGTTGACCCATGTGCAAAGTGATTGTTGACTTCTTTTTAAGAGGCGTTAACAGAACTTAGATCTTGAAATGAACAAAAGAAATAGAGGACAGTGAAGTTGATAGTGACAAAAAAACATCAAAAAGAAGATATTTAGGAGTATTTCCTTGTTAATGTTATGAAGAGCGTG